TCTTCTTCTTCTTCTTCTTCTTCTTCTTCTTCTTCTTCTTCTTCTTCTTCTTCTTCTTCTTCTTCTTCTTCTTCTTCTTCTTCTTCTTCTTCTTCTTCTTCTTCTTCTTCTTCTTCTTCTTCTTCTTCTTCTTCTTCTTCTTCTTCTTCTTCTTCTTCTTCTTCTTCTTCTTCTTCTTCTTCTTCTTCTTCTTCTTCTTCTTCTTCTTCTTCTTCTTCTTCTTCTTCTTCTTCTTCTTCTTCTTCTTCTTCTTCTTCTTCTTCTTCTTCTTCTTCTTCTTCTTCTTCTTCTTCTTCTTCTTCTTCTTCTTCTTCTTCTTCTTCTTCTTCTTCTTCTTCTTCTTCTTCTTCTTCTTCTTCTTCTTCTTCTTCTTCTTCTTCTTCTTCTTCTTCTTCTTCTTCTTCTTCTTCTTCTTCTTCTTCTTCTTCTTCTTCTTCTTCTTCTTCTTCTTCTTCTTCTTCTTCTTCTTCTTCTTCTTCTTCTTCTTCTTCTTCTTCTTCTTCTTCTTCTTCTTCTTCTTCTTCTTCTTCTTCTTCTTCTTCTTCTTCTTCGAGAGAGAGAGGAGAGGGAGAGGGAGAGGGAGAGGGAGAGGGAGAGGGAGAGGGAGAGGGAGAGGGAGAGGGAGAGGGAGAGGGAGAGGGAGAGGGAGAGGGAGAGGGAGAGGGAGAGGGAGAGGGAGAGGGAGAGGGAGAGGGAGAGGGAGAGGGAGAGGGAGAGGGAGAGGGAGAGGGAGAGGGAGAGGGAGAGGGAGAGGGAGAGGGAGAGGGAGAGGGAGAGGGAGAGGGAGAGGGAGAGGGAGAGGGAGAGGGAGAGGGAGAGGGAGAGGGAGAGGGAGAGGGAGAGGGAGAGGGAGAGGGAGAGGGAGAGGGAGAGGGAGAGGGAGAGGGAGAGGGAGAGGGAGAGGGAGAGGGAGAGGGAGAGGGAGAGGGAGAGGGAGAGGGAGAGGGAGAGGGAGAGGGAGAGGGAGAGGGAGAGGGAGAGGGAGAGGGAGAGGGAGAGGGAGAGGGAGAGGGAGAGGGAGAGGGAGAGGGAGAGGGAGAGGGAGAGGGAGAGGGAGAGGGAGAGGGAGAGGGAGAGGGAGAGGGAGAGGGAGAGGGAGAGGGAGAGGGAGAGGGAGAGGGAGAGGGAGAGGGAGAGGGAGAGGGAGAGGGAGAGGGAGAGGGAGAGGGAGAGGGAGAGGGAGAGGGAGAGGGAGAGGGAGAGGGAGAGGGAGAGGGAGAGGGAGAGGGAGAGGGAGAGGGAGAGGGAGAGGGAGAGGGAGAGGGAGAGGGAGAGGGAGAGGGAGAGGGAGAGGGAGAGGGAGAGGGAGAGGGAGAGGGAGAGGGAGAGGGAGAGGGAGAGGGAGAGGGAGAGGGAGAGGGAGAGGGAGAGGGAGAGGGAGAGGGAGAGGGAGAGGGAGAGGGAGAGGGAGAGGGAGAGGGAGAGGGAGAGGGAGAGGGAGAGGGAGAGGGAGAGGGAGAGGGAGAGGGAGAGGGAGAGGGAGAGGGAGAGGGAGAGGGAGAGGGAGAGGGAGAGGGAGAGGGAGAGGGAGAGGGAGAGGGAGAGGGAGAGGGAGAGGGAGAGGGAGAGGGAGAGGGAGAGGGAGAGGGAGAGGGAGAGGGAGAGGGAGAGGGAGAGGGAGAGGGAGAGGGAGAGGGAGAGGGAGAGGGAGAGGGAGAGGGAGAGGGAGAGGGAGAGGGAGAGGGAGAGGGAGAGGGAGAGGGAGAGGGAGAGGGAGAGGGAGAGGGAGAGGGAGAGGGAGAGGGAGAGGGAGAGGGAGAGGGAGAGGGAGAGGGAGAGGGAGAGGGAGAGGGAGAGGGAGAGGGAGAGGGAGAGGGAGAGGGAGAGGGAGAGGGAGAGGGAGAGGGAGAGGGAGAGGGAGAGGGAGAGGGAGAGGGAGAGGGAGAGGGAGAGGGAGAGGGAGAGGGAGAGGGAGAGGGAGAGGGAGAGGGAGAGGGAGAGGGAGAGGGAGAGGGAGAGGGAGAGGGAGAGGGAGAGGGAGAGGGAGAGGGAGAGGGAGAGGGAGAGGGAGAGGGAGAGGGAGAGGGAGAGGGAGAGGGAGAGGGAGAGGGAGAGGGAGAGGGAGAGGGAGAGGGAGAGGGAGAGGGAGAGGGAGAGGGAGAGGGAGAGGGAGAGGGAGAGGGAGAGGGAGAGGGAGAGGGAGAGGGAGAGGGAGAGGGAGAGGGAGAGGGAGAGGGAGAGGGAGAGGGAGAGGGAGAGGGAGAGGGAGAGGGAGAGGGAGAGGGAGAGGGAGAGGGAGAGGGAGAGGGAGAGGGAGAGGGAGAGGGAGAGGGAGAGGGAGAGGGAGAGGGAGAGGGAGAGGGAGAGGGAGAGGGAGAGGGAGAGGGAGAGGGAGAGGGAGAGGGAGA